AGACGTCCTGGCATGCATAAATCCACTCAGAAAGTGATTCTATGACGATCCTCAAAAGTAACTATGGGTCTATCTCGCTTCCTCCTCTATGCACAAATACATAATACCCGCACCACTATGTGGTGTAGGCTATAATGAAGTAGAATTTTCATTGATGTATATATTTCTCAGTGCAGGGGATGGAGATATGACATTGGATACTCAATTCGCTTTCCATAAAATATATGATATTGAATTATTCTGGAGAGGCTAGAAGGTACCACAAGAAGTTGGTCGATTCACTCTTATATTAATGAGAGACAAATTTGAAGAAAATTCGGCTCTAATTGCACATCTGTGAAGTATATTATTCGGAATGTTCACCACTTAGGGAACAAAAAGGAATGGGGTATATGGGGCAACAGGTCCAAACGTTATTAAAATATTACCGTGTAGCAAGTTAGAATTAAACATTCCGTTTTATCCTCACCCACATCAAGTAGAAGAAATTGGAAATAAATATTTACAAAAATCTCCCCATTTAACAAACCCCCTTCCCACCTCTTTCATTACACCCCAATACAAATTGTGTGAATGTTTGTATGTATGTATATGCATAATGATTCTAGTTAGTTTGGCATTGCATACAAAACAACATTTGCTTGATTTATCGAGGTCATTGTGAAAATTGGCGACAAAATCAACATCAATTGTGGGCTCATTTAACCACCCTGTGACCTGGTACCCATGCAGCATCCTCCACCCAGCTGCACACTCTCGGGAAGGTAATTGTGATTGAGGAAAATGCGCGTGCCAACATATTAACAAAGAACAATTTCCAATGGGAAAAATAAGTTTCATGTGCCAATATTCAATAAAAGTATTATTTTAATAATGGAATTGCAGAAACAACAAAAAAATAAAAATATATATAAAAAGATTTAAAAAAAAAAAATTAAAAAATTACATATTTTATTTCAAAAAAAAAAAAAAAAAAAAAAAAAAAACAAAAAAGATCATCAATAATTCCGAAGAAGTTGTTTCTCTAATGCCGGAAAAATTCATTCACCTAGAGAAAATAATAATAATTCCCATATGATCGGATTTTTGTAAATGTTTTTTTTTGTATCTATTTTGGGCTTACGCTCAGTTATATGCAATAACTTGGATATTATTTTCGACTGGAAATAATGTTATGCTCCGGCAGGAGTTCAAAATCTGACGAATTCGAACATCATAATTCCCAAAGTGTGTTTTCAAATTTTGGATTTAATTAAAGAAAGTCAAAATTATAAAATAACTTTTTTTTATTTGGAATGATGTTTTTCTTTCAAATTCACTTTTTATTGTCATACAGAAGCAGACCCATACGCTCATATTGATTTGTCTACAAAGACTTGAAACTCAAAATCTAAAAATGAATACCGGGTACTGAAAATTGAACAAATAAACAAAAAACACATGAAAAAAATGAAGGAAAAATTTATGCACATGTGATAAAACAAATGCGGGGCGTATTTATTTACAATAAGCAGCTATTAAAGATATGACCAAATTATTTCGATAATTTCACAAATCAAAGAAAATTATATATTATTACAGTAAATAAAAAAAATTAAGATACAATGAAAATTTTCTATATAGAAGTTATTATTCGATTTTTGAGATCAATTATATAGATTCTCGTGCAATTTCAGTAGGCGAGCTAAACATAGAATGGATAAATAAAATTTCTAAAATTTAGCAGTTGACCCATACCGGAGACAATCCTTTTATGTATTCTCACCTAAAAAATCGCTCACTTTAAGGTTGGGAAAATTGCTAAAAATAAGTGCAGTGAAATGCCTAAAAATTGAGTTCGATTTATGTATCGCTCATTTACTTAAACAGTGTCAAATCTCAAAACATACAGATTTAAATAAAAAAAATTAAATTGAACTTATTTTCTAATAAAAATATTATTACACAAAATTTCTGTGCAATATGAAATCTGATGTGAAGTACTTAAGTGCTGCCTTAAAGCAATTCGCGTATCCCCTTAAGTTTTTCCGATGTCGACATGAAAATAGAAGCAGTATTTTTTTTTAAATTTTTAGAAAACGACAAATTTTCGACAGAAATCTTCTGTTTAAAAATGCTGCCAAAATCATAAAACCCGAATAGAATAAGTTACCGTTATATTGCGGCACGTGACCTGTATGTGCAATTTTTGTCATGGGCTATTACGATATTGAAACGCAAAACTTGAAACAATTGTGGTGAATAATGTCGCTAAAATCGTCAAAATACCTAAAATAGGTAGGCTATACGAAGACGTAGACTTGTTTAATCAATTTTCGGTCATAGGTTGTAATTAACTTCAAATTGTTAATTTAAAACATTTCCGATTAAAATTGTATCGCAAATCATCAAAATATCGAATATCAGAAGGTATGGTTATATGGGGACTTCACCAAAACATGGACCTAAATGGCCGGTTCTATGCATATATGATTCCTAATATATATACTGCCAATTTAGAGCAAATACCGTTTAAAATTGTGATTAAAACCAAAAAGGACATAAAATCGGCCGGTCCAGTTATATGGGGGCTATACCAATATACAGACCTATATAGCCATTGTCATCAAAAAAAATCCTGCAGGCCTAACAAACATCAGAGTACATTTTTATAAAACGACTTCATTTCGTTTCGAGGCTAGAGTGATTTACACAGACGAACGGACATTTCGAGGTATTACAAACGGAATGACAAACTATGGTGGCTATGTGTCTTAAAAATTGAAACAGCACTGCTATTAGTTGTTCTGGTTGAATTGATTGGCATTCATGCATTCAATGCAAATGCTCATTGTTTTGTGGGAAAATGTCGAATTTAAAATATTTTATTAATTAAAATATTTAAATATTTATTTTCATTTAATTTTTTCCTTAAAAACCAATAACCGAAACGTGTATCCAACTTAGATTGAGTTCGAAGATAGGCAATATCGATCCACTCGTTGTGGTATTTTCCTCAGCCGACAATTTGAAAAGAAATGAAATCCCTCACAGAGGTTGATTCTGCTGTAATTTCGAATACCATTTTATTTGTTTCCAACTTAGGAAATGTACATAATTGTTTGAGCGAATTTTCAACGGAACCCGGGATTATAAAAAAATACCTTAACGATTTAGACCTTGAGCCCCAACAAAAGGGAGACCCCAGATTTTGAGAACCCATTACAGGTAAAATAACTATAATTTCCGAGAAAATACAATTCCATTTTAGATATACAAAATACGAAGCACACCTTCAAAACGATTGGCTTAGATAGGTATCTGCTTCAGTTTTGTACTCACTAATGCAATTTCCCATTAATATTTCTGACAACGGCCATGTCCACAAATGAGTAAATTCGAATTCTGATTAAATTAACTCTGCTTTTATATCTTACATTACAGTGGTAGTTATATTAATTTTACCATTTCGAACTTATCGAAACATTTATTTCAGACTTCACAAAAAAATTCTAAGACAATTCAGCCCTGCCTGTGTATTTCAATTACGCCATCTTACAAACAAGTTATGATCATATGTCTGGAGACAGTTCAAGTTTGAAGGTCGTACACGTCTTGACATACGTTTCAAATAAAGGAAGTGCCTAATTTATGCTATAATACAGGATTGAGGCATTTTCGGTTCATTGCAGTCCCTCCGTACAAAAAAAAAAAAATAAATAAATAAATAAATAAAAAAATAAAAATAAATAAATAAATTAGCGTAAGCCCACCCTAGGAGTCTAAAATCGTAGAAAGATAAATTCAGCATTTTGAGGTTTAAGCTTTTTTTCTTCCGAATAAATTTCCGTTACAAACTCCAATCCTATTTTCGTAAAATCCCGCATATTGCAAATAATAAATATATAAAAATATCATAAATGTAAACATATCGGAGGTGCTCCACGACCACGTCCACGGAGCCATCAACCCACCGATATTCGGTAATATAATTATTTTAACCATACTTTAGGACCTAAATGCCTGTGGATTGATAATTTCTATAAGAGGCTAGGAAACTTCCTTGTAAAAAACTGTGTAGCCCCAGTATAACGTCGAGCCAAGGTTCACTGGAATTTTATACTACTTTACTACTTTAGGACCGAACTGCCTGTGGATTGATAACTTCTACAAAAGGCTAGGAAACTTCCTTGTAAAAAATGTAAGCATCTTCTGTGTAGCCCCCAGTATAACGTCGGGCCGAGTTTCACTGGAATTTTATCTTTATTATGGCCTTCGTACTGAATTTCGCTACAGCCACTTTCGAAGATTTTTCTGCCTATGGTGGATGGAAATAGAACTCAACGCCCACATGACTTTGTGTTCTATATATCCGGCAAAAATGCAAAATTCCACTTACTCTCGACCCATCACATCTTAAGCCTAAGAAGAAATTTTATAATACATGCTGGAATCACTCTATATCACTCTACACAGAATTACTCACTCTACAAAGAATTATGGAATTATCAATTTCCCATCTTCAAATCTTATATTTAATTGGACCGTAGAACCTGTAGATAGCACTCTTGAAATCTGTATAAACCTTGCATTTCATCTCCATTAATAACCTGTTTCATGTTAGGGAAAATTGCATTTTTTTTTTTATGCAAACAAATACATTTTCCCATGACACTCATTACCTCGAAAAAAGGTTACTTCTGATAAAAAAAAATCCCACTTTCAGGAATTTTAATCAAAAACTGTCAATCATGGATTTCCTAAAACAGCTCGCAACGCGCAACATGAATAGTTTTCCCTTTGGCTATCGGTAACTGTAGCATTTCATGTGTCACATATTTACTATTGAACTCCGGAAAACAGTTCATTGATACCCCCTGTGGAGGATAATATATAAAATACAACAGCAACAACAAAAGTAGGCAACTTTCGAATGCATGTTGTCGACATCGTCATCATTGTTGTTGTTGTTCGTTGCAGATTATCTCCATAATACAAATCATTAGAGAATTGAGACTTACCATAAATTTTTGAAGTAGAAGAAAATCCAATTTTAATTAGAAGCTCGAATGGAGTTGCCTGGCCGGAGCGTAACTTCCTTTCGCAGATTTGGTGTCGTTGTTGTTGTTTTTTTTTCAATTTGATGAACTGGTTTTCGTAATAATGGTGATGCTGATGATGCAAATGTTGAATGCAGCAGCGGCAAAAAAAAAAAACAAAAACTTTATATCCAATCAAGTTTATGCGTTGAGTTTTTTTTTTTTTTTGGTTTAGAAAAACATGTTATTATAATGCACTGGGATCGATGCTGCTGTTGCTGTTTTTGGTCTCCTTTAGGCCATTAACTTTTGCATAAATGTTGCACCCAATCAAGTTAACAACCTCTGGAAAAACAGGCGCTTAACAAAGATTTGAGATGCTGGCCGAGGCAGCCTCAAAACAGGTGCATTTGATTCACTGATTTATTTGGTTTTGAATGAACGAACGAAGGGGGAACTTGCTATCTGCCAAGCATGGGTTAGTTAACCGGTTCCAAAGGAAGCGCGGTTTTCTGTCGACAAATACTTTGGCGTTTGTTTGGTTGTTATTTTCTTGGCTTCTTCAGCTTCTTCTTGGATTCTTCACAAATCTGCTACACTTGTGGCAAAGTTGTCTTTTGCGGTTACATTAACTTGTTTTATTTTCTTTGCTCTTTTATTTTTCTGGTTTTGTTTTGGACTTGGGATTTTAAAGAGAGATTGAGAGGGAATAGTTGTTGGTGTTGTTGTTTGTTTTGCTTTAAGCTGTTTTGTAAACGATTTTATGCGGATGATATGTTTGGTTGGGGGATTTGTCGTTTCGTTTCGTTTCTTTGCTCTTTTGCTTCGTTTCTCTTGAGGCAAAATATTATTGATGTTATGTTTTTTTTAATTGACTTGGTTTACAAATAGAAAATTATTTTTGTTTTATTTGAATTTTGTTGTTGTGATATGTTTTGTTTAAAAATTTTTTACTGGGTCTACTGAGATTACTTTTTTTGGGCCAAATACTTTATTTTCTTTTGGTTTCCTTTTTTCTCTTGGCTTTTTCACCTTTTATTGAAAATTGAATTTTCACCACTTTTGCACTCTTGGCAAAACAGATTCAGCCACGTTTTGTTGGAGAGTCCTTTGCTGGCCCACTCACACATTGACCATAACAAAAAGGAAACACGAACTCACTGAACGATGAATAGACCTTTGTTTTATGTGGGACTATAATATATGTACATATGTACGTTTGTGTGTGTGCGTGTGTTTGGCACTGGACAAAATATTCAACTGGCAAAACGTGCCACTAGACTTTAAGACAATTTAAACAATTTTCACTCAACTAATTTTTTGTTAAAAATTTTCCAGTTTTCCGAAAATGTAGTTTTTCCACAAACTTTGTTTCGATTTCACTCGGGACTGTTGATATGCACCGTCATTTGTTATTGGACTCAGGTCCTTTTTCTATAATTATTTTATTTATTTTTCACTATTTTTCTTTGTTTGTTTTTTATTTCGCCTTCTTTGTTTTCTCACAACATTTTCTTCAAAGGATATGTAGGTATTGCAATTTTTGCTTTAAAGTATTAATTTTCCATTTGTTTGTATGTATGTATGTATTGGCGTATGTGTGTGCTTTTATTCGCGTATAGGTATGTTCAAGTTGTCGCTTTTATTGAGGTGAATGAGTAAATGAATGTATACGTTTGTGTGTCTGAATGTGTGGGTATGTATGTGTAATTGTGCGTGCTTTCTTCGTGTGTGTGTGTATGTGTCTGTGTCGTTTTTCCTTTTGTCTTACTGTCTGTCTTGCTTTGGCTTTTCCAGCTTGTGATATGTTGGTGTGACAATTTCAAAACGGAACGGAAATTCACGCGCTCTGTCAAGGAATTCGAACTGTTTTCAGACACGGAGGAACACGTACTAAAACTTGCTTTGTCCACAATGGCTGGATGGCTGGCTGCCTGGCTGGTTGGTTGATTTGTTGTTTGGTTGGCTGTTGTCTGTTTGTCTTTGCTGCTGTTCGCTCACATATTTCTACGTTCGTGTTCGTGATGCGCGTCTACGCGGCTGTGTGAGTGTGTCTTATTTGCCTGCCTGGCTGGATGGCTAGTCAAGGCAACGACATCGGAATTTCAGACATAGCCAGCATTGGGCTCTGCTTGCCCTCAGTGTGGTTAGAACACGGAGAGAAAGAGAGCAGCGGCAGCAGCGACATCAGTAGCAGCATTTCCATTGCAGCAAAGAGGCGAAGAACAAAAATCAAAACAATGCTGCAACATAAACAATGTCGCCACACTGCACCTTAACAATAACACACGCACACACAACCGAAGAGATCTATTTATGCTTCTCCTGCGTACCAGGCACCATAATAAACAGATAATTTCACCACACACTCTCCATATCTTCCCCCAACCCACAAAAAAAATCCAATTGGTTTTATTTCCCTCTCATACGCCCCCTCACTCTGAGCAGCCACTAAAATAGTTCAGCTCTTTATTGAACAGACAACAGTCGAGGACAAAATGTTTTCTAAGTGAGTAAATGTGTGTAGCATGAGTGTGTGTGGCACATCTGCATTTTGTCAACACTCACTCTGAGTAATCACAATGGCTGTAACCAGTACTAAACAAACAACAACAAAATTACGCACTCTTACTCACAACATGCCACACACACTCACACGCACTCCCATACGAAAGCTTACTCTACCTTTGAGATTTAGGGAATTCATTCACAAGTCTAGTGGTGGAGCACGTACACACACTGAGAGACATTGGGACTCTCTGCTTTCTCTAAGCATCAACTCCTGTTGTAATAAAAGGCGCGTGTCTGAGCAAATGAGAGTGGTAGGTGCTCTCAATTCTAATGCTCCCCCATAGTTGTAAATGGGATTAAGGATTTTTGGAGGCACTCAAATAGAATCAATTGAGAATCTCTTTAAATTTGAGAATAACATTTCTGTAGACCATAACCACCGGCAATATGACGATGAGTGTAAACAGGAGACAAGTAGGTTCTTTATCTAATATTTTGCAGATAAGTCTCCAATAAAAAACTAAATAAAGAGAAATTTATTTGAAGATTTTTTTGCTGAGAATTTCTATTTTGGGGAAATTAAAGAATTTCACCATTCATGGCATGGCAACGATTCTCAGAGGCCATACTTGCCGGTAAAATGTTCATTTTTATTTAAAATGGCTTTCTCTTTATTTCTAACAGCTGTCCAATAGAATATCTAGTAGATTCTTTACCTGTCTTTGGGTTGTTGTTATTTTCCAATTTAATATTAGATCAGGAGTGGGACACTGAGCCAAAAATACTCCAACCTCATTGTAGCAATGGCTGTTGCCATTACAGCTTGTTGGCATAGCTGCAATTTGACCTTATTTTTGTTGGTTTTATTTTGTCTGTCTCTTTCGATGCGGCATACGTAAATATGTATATTTGATACACTTGGCTTTAAAGGTCATATCGGAGGCTGTCTTTGTTATTTATAGGTATGCATTCGATATATGCAACAGTATTTTTCTTGGAAGAGAAAAAAAAAAAACTGGATGACTTTAACGGGAATGAAATGCAATCAGAACGGTAGGAAACTGAAGACCTATTAGTAAGTTCTCAATAAAAATTATGAAAGTCATATTTAAATGAATGACAGTAAGTGTTTAATTAATGTCAAGAAATGCCTTAGAAAGTAAAAACTGTGCTTTGGGGCGCACAGAAAAATTATTAAACACGTTAAAAAGCAGTCAGTTCAGCCGGCCTGAACTTTAAATACCATCCAACATTTAGAACGAATTTGGAAATTTTCAAAAAATAATTTTTTTTAAATTCTTATTGGGGTCTATACGACGTGGACCTACATAGGCATTGTTTGTTATAAGCCATTACCATATTATAAACGCCGAATAATGTGGCATCATCAAAATACCGTATATAGGCAGGTACCGTTATATCGGAGCTATTCGAAGACCTGGACCTGCGTAGACAATTTTCTGTCACAGACTATTTCCGCATAGGGTTTGATCTTAGTTTCGACGTGCAAAGTTTGGATTAAAAAGTGAACTTAAGATTGAAATATGAACGTGCTCTAGAAGAATACAATTAAGGTCAGATGGCAGAACACATTGTGAATTACAAGCACCAAGTTTAAAGAAAATCCGATAGTGATGCATCTAAAATTGTCAAAATACCGAATAACTAAAGGTACCGTTACATAAGACTTAAAATATTGCGTTAGAACTCATTATCAAACCTAAATACCAAATGGTAAAGAAAATCGTGTGACTATTATCATAAAAATACCGAATACCTGGAGGAGCGGTTATAAGGACGATGTCGCAAAATGTGGACCGATATATCAACCATTTTTATTTTCAATACAAAACAGCCTATGAACAGTACACTCTTTTATGTCAAATGGCAAAGTTCTACTACACATAATAAGGCCTAGAACTTTATTTCTAAGCAATCTCAAAGCTCTTAATCATACCTTAATTGATGTTCCACAAAACTCACACCAGTTCTAGACATTAAGATGTCTATGTATTTTGTCTACTTGCGCATTATCGTAGATCGACCTACAAGGATGAGATGCAGGTAATGTATTTTTCTTTCTTAGGCGACTATATGTACGTTTGATAATATTTTGGGAGAGACCACCCGTCATTATAAAGATTTCATAGTGACGTTTTGCATTAAAATTACGTAGTCTATTGGTCGGATTCAGTCGAACCTGTTTTAGGGGGACTTACACGATGTCAAGAGGCAGTACTGACCATTCACTTGACGTTAGGTCTGACCAGAGGTCTTGGAGTTGAACGTAATTTGAACAGACAGACGGACATTGCTAAATTGACTTAAAATTCGGAAATAGCATCAAATTTTAGAATAAGTTTAGATTTGTTCGAATTTGTCACCTGTGGCACGAATTATGACCTTCAAACGGCCAATGAAACCGTCACACTCTGCACGAATGTTGCTCTGCGATATTTTGGCCCATTCCCAGCGAAGCGCTTGCTTGCCACTTTGGTATGTTTTAGTGCCAACGTTGCACAGTGGTCGCTGCCATTGGCCAAAATTCAAAAAATGAAAGTCAGATATTTATTGTCAAATGTGTACACATGAACTCTTAAGAGGTTAAGCTTTTTAGAAAACATAATAATCTTGGTTTCATTCTAACGGGACACTTCGAAAATAGCATCAAAAAATAGATAATGTAGTTAGTTGCTTTTTTCGGTGGGATCAGTACAAAAAAAAAGTGTAAAAATAGATCTGTATTACAAAATTAAATACATTTTAAAATGACAATTCTTGGCATAATTATTGAAAAGCAAGGTATTGACTTATTTTTAGTTCAGTAATTTGTGTGTTTAGTAGTTGTGTATAATATAGACGATGTGAGTGTTCTGAGTTGCTTTTAAGATTTATTTTTAAAAATAAAATTGGATTTCAGTTAAAGTTTTAATTGTTTTCCCCCCTGAATCCTCCAATGTGATTTTTTTCACGCCATTAGTAATGGTCCTAAGATGCTAGAAGTGCTAATTTAACTTTCAGATTTTGTCAGATTTGTATGTTATGCCCAATATACTGAAGTGACTTCGCTCCAATTTTGTCAGTTCTATGGTGCTAGTGACATAGAATATATTTTTGTTGTTTGGGATTGATAAGGATATAATTGAGGGGTGTTACATAATGTTGCCTGCATTGTCTTCTGGGTATAATATTGATGTCCAAAAATTTAAGGCCTTTGCACTGGAAACGGCTAAAGAGTTAACAAATAGATATCCATGGCACTAGCTTCCACCCGCAGCTAATAAAATGTTTATACGTATACATTTGTCATTGTATCGATTGGAGAATTATAGGAGGTGGCCGTGGGGTCAAGACACAAAGATATAAACAAGTTTCGACTAAATCATACCCGAAAAATATATTAATCGTCTTCTTCTGAGCTCTGACCCTTTTATAACGGGCAGCGAACGTTACCAATCAATATAAAATCTATATTATTAAAATCTGCATTTGATTTACTTGAATAACACTGAAATTTATAAATATCCATTAGTTACTTTTATTTAATTTTATATTGAATTTTTTATTTTGTTTACAAAAAAATTGTCTATTTTGTTTACAAAAAAAATAATCAAATTTGAAATTTTGATTTGTATAAAAAATACTTATATTTTTGGAGGTACCTTTACAGGGGGATTTGTATAAAAAATACTTATATTTTTGGTGGTACCTTTGCAGGGGTACTCTACCTGATGGCGGGCCGTTCCAAATAATTTTCAGTAAGACTATTTTTTAGCTCTTTAGAACGTAAAATGTCAAATAACAGAACAATCTAGTGTAGAAATGTGACAAAAATTGGGCAAGTAACCCTTATTCGGGAGGTACGTTGTAAGGGGACCATGCCAAAACATGCATCGACCATATCCATTTTGTCACATTTTTTATTTTTATCCCATCAAGGTACCATAACCAAAGAATCATATTGATATCTGCACTGAAAGTATTTTTGGCCGCTGTTCCCATACGACCTCGACCACTGTGCGTTGCTTTCCAAAATACTCCAGACACAATAGTCCAATGGATTGGTATCCGGAGTTTTTGGTGGCTATTGTGCGCTGGAAATGAAGCGAGGAACCTCATTTTGTAATCATTCTTGGGTGGCGCTTGCTGAGTCCTGTTAGAGTGTCCAAGGTCTGCGGCCAAAATGTTTGCGAGACCAATGCCTTAATACATCCTCCAGAATATTTTCGCGATAATATTCGGCATTTATTCTGATGCCACAGTCGATTAATACGAGCAGAGAGCGACCATCGGCTGTTATGGCGGCCCACACCATCATCATGGCCGGCGCTTGAGTTCTGGTGGCCAACCGGGGATGCACATTTTCATCTGACCTCTTTGGCAAGCAAACACTGCTGGACAACGAATGTTTTCTCATCGGAGAAATCCAAATTCGGCAGTTCACCACTTTCGGCCAAGCGAAGCAACTCTTTAGCTTTTTTGAACTATTTCTGCTGATGTTGC